CATACTTCAGAATATTTATCATAACTTTTGATGGAATGAACTGATTTTAATGAAATAAAGACTAAATGTAATCCGAAGATACACTTTATAATTTCCTTAACAATTCTTATGATATAAATTAGTACTTTATACGTGATACGTTAACAAACAAACAGACAGACAGACAGACAGACAGACAGACAGAAGACAGAAAATTCTAAAAATGGTAGAAATGTATTTAATTACTTATTTTTGTACCCCTCAATCACTTTTTTTTTTCACTATAGATAAAAAAAAAACTTGTTGGACGTAGACGGCCTTAGCGTCACTGCGACATAATTTATATAAGAAATGATTATTACGCCATCTGTTGGAGATCATGAGACTTTTTATGGAAGAAACTTGATGTAGTAACGGATAACCTTAGGTTTTCATTACAAAATGATGTTTAAAATACCACAAACGCAATTAAGCATGAATTTAAAATCACTTCTGCTTATCGCCAACTCTCTAGAAGTTAAGCTACGTAATAAAAAGTTTTTGAATACATTTTCTATTGAAAACTGTATTCAACGCAACCGCAGGAGAGTATTAATCAAACTTCGACTGTTGCCGTTCATACGATAACAGTATTAAAACGAGTTCCAGTAAGAGCTATGGCTTTTAAACTGAAACAAGTGTAAGTAAATTCTATTCACGTTGTATAATTATGTACAACTGTGTTACTTAATAGTATGATTAAATTGGTACATCACCCTCTAACCTAAAACATTATTTTTAATTTAATTTAAAAATTGCTGATGGTAATTGATTCCACAAGGAAGTTGTACGAGGAAGAAAACATCTTTTAAATCGCACAGTGGTGAACTGCCAATCATCTAGATGGTGTGGATGGTATCGGGAGTTCTGCCGCGCTGTGCGTTCGTGAAATTTAGCGGCTGGGATTAATCCGAACAATTCCTCAGAGCACTCCCCGTGATAAATGCGAAAGAAATTGCAAAGGGATGCAACATCTCTTCGCAGTGCCAATACATCGAGCCGATCGGAGAGGACTCGGTCGTCGACGTTTCGAGCCGCTCTGCACTGGATGCGGTCAAGTGGAAGGAGCTGGCACTGGGGAGCTCCTGCCCAAAGATGGGAACAGTATTCCATGTGAGGCCGAACCTACGCCTTGTAAAGTTACAGGCGGTGTGACGGAATGAAATACTGTCCCACTCTGCTGAGCACGCCAAGCTTTTTAGAGGCTAATTTGGCCTTTTCTTCCAAGTGAACACGAAACTGCACGTCACTCGATATGTTGACTCCGAGGATTCTGATACTGGCTGAGGCAAGAAGAGGAGTGCCTTGAGACTGAGGAGATACGACAAAGGGGTTCTTTTTAGCGGTAAATTTTATTTTATTTATTTATTTATTATTGGACAACACAACAGATTACATCATGACTTAAAGCTATAACTTACAATAATATTAGTGTAATACAAGACATAATCCTTATACGTGTTATCACGGCATGCCAAGATTGAGAAACAAACATTTTAAATAAAATTGCTTAAACTAACAGGCTCATAAATCCAACAAATTAAGAACTATAATTTTAGTGAATATCAATCAAAGGGTATGTCCTTGAGAATGCCTTTCAAAACATTTCTAAAGTGAACCAGACTATTGTTGAAGATGTCAAGGTTGGTAAAGCGAAGGCTATAATTCTAATAAAGTCGACATAACCTTGATAGGGGTTGATTCCGGGAGATATTATTTCGCGATAGGGGTATGTCAAATATTTTTTTCTTAGGTCTACGTGGGTTGTGTTTTATGTTAAAATTTAACAGTTCCAAAACCTCGGGACTGTCCAGTTCCGAGTGTATTATTTTGTGTAGGTTAACTAGGTCCAATTCGTCGCGACGGAGGTGAAGTGGTGTCATGTCAAACTCTTTAAGCCTCTTAGCATATGACCGGAGTCTTCTATTGTTGCTGGTACGTAAGCTCAATAAACGCAAAAACTTGGATTGGATCGATTCAATGCGCTCAGAGTGCACTGCGTAGTATGGGTTCCATATTATTGAACTATATTCTAAATTACTTCGAACTAGACTGTTATATAACAAAATTAAACTTTGAGAGTTCCTGAAGTGCCTGCTCTGTCTGGTAACGAAACCTAGTACCTGGTTAGATTTTTTGGCTATGAGATCGTAATGTTGGCGGAAACTAAGCTGTTCGTCAAACAAGACCCCGAGATCCCTGATAGACGACACACGAGACAGAGTTTGTTGATCTAAGATATAATTGTTTGATACCTTGTTTTTTTTAAGTGTGTAGGTGATGACATAGCATTTTTTGACATTAAGGAACATTTTATTTTCTTTGCACCAATTAGACAGGCTGTTTAAGTCTTCCTGTATGATGCGTGTGTCGTCAGCTTCACCAATTCTATTGAATATTTTTAGGTCGTCAGCATATAATAGGCAAGGGGACTGAATTTTACCAATGAGGTCATTAATGAAAGTCACAAAAAGTAACGGGCCCAAATGGGATCCTTGAGGAACACCAGACTTAATGATGATTTCTTCTGATGTGTACCCCTTGACGGTTACGAGCTGACTCCTGTTTTTCAAGTAGGACTCGAGCCAACGCAACAGACTGCCGTGTATACCATACGACTCAAGTTTCTTACATAAAATTGCGTGATCCACTTTATCGAACGCTTTCTTAAAGTCGGTATATATAGCATCTACCTGACCACGGTTGTTAAAAGCATCGCATATGTAGGTTTTGAAGTTAAGAAGGTTACTGACTGTCGATCTCCTTTTGATGAATCCGTGCTGCTTAGTTGATATTAGAGGTTTTAAATGAAAATAGAGATGATCAAATACTACTGATTCAAATAATTTGGATACTGCTGACAAAATGCTTATGGGTCTATAATTTTCACCGTTGGCTCGGTCACCAGATTTAAATATAGGGACAATGTTAGCTTTTTTCCAGCGAGAAGGGAACACACCGCTGTTCAGTGATTTATTAAATATTAGCTGAAGCGGGCGACACAGTTCATCTGCGCATACCCGCAGGAATATAGGTGGAATGCCGTCAGGGCCAGCTCCCTTGTTGGAGTCAAGACGCCTCAGTTTTGATAATATTTCGTTCTCAGTTAGTACGAATTTAGTGAGAAGACTATTTGTTTGACTACAACAATCATATATCCCCGATCCGTGACTGTGATCTTCGAATACTGACCCAAAAAATTTTGAAAACAGATCGCAGATTTCCCTACCACCAGTAGCCGTTGTTTCACTAAATGTCATTGAGTCGGGGAAACTCAAGTTATTGCGTCTCTTGCTGTTAACGTATCTCCAAAACGACTTAACGTCTTTTGTCAAACCATTTTCGATAGATCTGATGTATTCATTGTAACAACAATTTATGAGATTTTTGCATCTAGCCCGGAGGAGAGAGAATGTATCGTAATCTCGTGGGTTTTTGTATTTTTTGTAGCGCACGTGGTATTTGTTTTTTTCCCGCATACAACGACGCAAGCCAGGACTGAACCATTTGGGATATTTATTTGAGCGGTTCTTAACTATGGGAGTACAATCGTTAATAATTTCATAGATCACATAGTAAAATCTAGCCACAGCCTCATCTACGTCTGCCCCATAAAGTAGATCTGACCAGTTGGTATCATTAATTCTCTGCTTTACAGTTTCATATTGGCATTTATAGAAATTTAGACGCTTTGACTCATTGACCTTCAGAGGTTTATAATTAAAAGAATTTGAGTCTTGAAAATCAATAAATAAGGCAGGGTGATGTTTATCTTCTTTTAATGAGGTCTTCTCGTTGGTGATGGTCATATTTCCGGAAGTGCTAAGAGCAAGATCTAGTATCTTATTGTTATTATTGGGGATGGAGTTAAACTGTGACAGATCACAGAGTGCCACAGTATCTAACAACAGTTCGCTCTTGTAGTCCATCTCATTGCAGCTAGCTGTCATACTGCCATGGCTTGACAGAATCCATGAGACATTGGGTACATTGAAATCGCCAAATAATGCAAATGAATTCTGTTCATTTGATTTTAGGATAATGTTTTGAATATTTGAATAGAAGTTTGACAGGTCATTTTTATTTAGATAGGGAGGCAGATAGCAAACAAATACATTAATTGTCTGACCATTAATTTTAGGAGGCAATATGCTAATCCAGATATCCTCTAGTTCGCTTTCCCAGGAGACCTGTCTGACAGCAGAGTAATGTTTTTTAACTGCTACGAGGACACCGCCTCCATCGTCTTTATTATACTTTTTAATACAAGTGGTATCGCGATCTCTACGGAATATATTGTATTGCTCGTCAAACAGTTCCCCATCGTATACAGAAGCATCGAAATTTGTTTCAGTTAGACATATTAAATCGTAATGAGAGTTCAGAAAGTTTTTATAAAGTATATCTATTTTACTTCTAGCTCTATTGAGATTTTGATAATATATATGCATTTTTAAAAATATGTAAAAAGATACCAAATAAATGCTTTGAGTTTAATATAGATTACAAAAAGAAAAAAAAAAGAAATACTTAAATTAGACTACTCATAATACAGGGTTATTAGGCGGCAGCTTTGATAAAGAACTAGTGTCTCTTATGAGTATAGCAGGGGATTCTTCATTTTTACGAACATAGACGCGACCGTATTTTACCCAGACAAATTTGTAGTGGTTAGTTTTAGTCCATTGTCTTGCCGCGGCGTGTAATGCCTTGCATTCAGCTGATAGGTGTTCCGATACGTAAATATTGTATTTTTCGCCAACTAAGCCCATATGAGATGAGTTTAGCGGACACAACTTGTTTGCTTTATTATATCTTCGCACTGCAGAGATAATAGTGTCGCGGTGAAGTTCCGAGTGCAGCGTTGCAATAATATTGCGGGGACGGTCTGACGAAGGGTTCATCTTTGCAACACGGCGGATAGATTTTATGTCTGACTCAGTTATAGGGCAATTTATGGCCTCACATAATTACTTCAACCCTTACAATAAATTTTCCGACCGTTTTTCGGGTACCGACTGAATTTCAATGCTGCATTTTCTTGAGGACTTGTCTAAGACCTGCAGAGTTTTATTCATTTTGGATAATTCGGATTGTAGTTGCATCTTTTCATCTTCAAGCTTGCTGACCTTCTCTGACAACTTCTTAAGTTCAGCTTTTACATCCCTTTGCTCCTCCGCAAGAAAATCTGTCGTTACGGTGAACTCCGATTTTAGTTTGGCTATTTGATCACTAACTTCCGTCCTTATTGTTCTGGTTAAAGATGCTTGAAAACTTTGCAGTTTAGTATCCAACTTCAAATCTAGAAGTCTCGAGAATTGGTCCAATGTGATACTTGCAGCGGGAGTACATCCGGATGATGTGGGTGTATTTTCAACTGTGTCCATGATTGGTCGACTATTTTCGACAGTGGTTTCACTAATCGTGAGGTTTTCGCAGGACATGTTAGATTCATCCATGTTTTCTAGTTGTTTTCGAACAGGCGTATTGCAGTTGTTTCCCTTTCTCCTAGTTATGTTGTTGCAAAGTGGACATATCCAGGACCTTCTCAGTTCGCCCAGGTTAGCCTTGTAATAAGATTGAGTTATGTTCAAGCATCTATAATGATAGTGTGTCATACACTGTATGCATTGGAGTATATCTTCGCCAGTAATTCGATTACGACACGCTTCACAATTCATAGTGATTAAGTTCACGGTCCAAAGATATTTATATTCAATGATAATTTTTGTTTACGAACTATATTAGAGTACTTTTTCAACGATAACTTGGGAGCGCAACTAAACTAAACACATCTTGCTTCTCTGACTACTCAACATAAATTTGAATTCAAATTTAAGCTTAAAACATACACAAAAAGTCAAACTGTGCAGGTTAGACTCGATCTTGCGGCCTCAATTAATCTACTCGAGTGCGTAGCCTATACGCCACCGTTACATATTACTTTTGCTGCCAAAATAGTGGTTCTATTACAAAGAAATACGAAATCATAGATTCGTTATGAGCGTTTTGTATTTGTTTGAAAATTTTTCTCCAACCGTCACTTTAAATCACAAATACAAAGTTTTTAAGTTTTTAAAGTATTTATTGTTTTATATTTTTGTTTTTATTTATGTCACTGTTTATCAATTGATATAAGATGTATTTAGTATTATTTTGGGATGAAATAGCACATATAGGTTTTATTGCTGCTAATAGTTCACTGTAATATTCACAATAATGCAGACTGATTTGCGTAATATATGTCTTGATAACACTCTCACATACGTATTGAATAGTTTTCTCCACTTTTTTGGTAAATCTAATACGATACAGTTGAATAACTATTTTTAAACAATTAAATTACGGGAGCACAATGTTCACATGACAGTATCCGCACTAGTCTAAATGCGCAAAGTTGTGTCTTCTGAGGATTAAACTGGACTAGATTTAGTCACCCCCAATCCGACACTTTGTACAACATAGACTGGACTTCAGACACAAGTTTGTTCCGGTACTCGGTGAGGTTTTCCCGAGAAATATTGGTACGGCCGGTAACCAGTGCTGTCATCCGAATAGCAATGAATGTTACCAGTTAGCAACATATCATTGATATGCACAAGAAACAGCGTTGGTGATAGCACACAGCTTTGTGGAACACCAGCGTTAATAGGCTTGTAGTCGGAGCATGCACCGTCTACAACGATCTTGATGCTTCGATCTGCAAGGAAGCTAGTGATCCAATTGCACAATTTCTCGGGAAGCCCATAGGAAGGCAACTTCGAAAGAAGCGCTTTGTACCAAACCCGATCGAAGGCGTTCGCAATGTCCAAACTAACGGCTAACGCCTCCCCCTTGGACTCCGCCCATCTATGAGTCAGGTAGACCAGAAGATCACCAGCTGATCGACCCCGACGAAAACCGTATTGGCGGTCACTAATCAGCTGTTGATCCTCAAGGTACCGCATGAGCTGGCAGTTAATGATGGGTTCCATTATTTTGGAGAACAAGGAGGCGATAGGCCTGTAGTTGGACGGGTCTGAGCGGTCGCCTTTTTTAGGGATCGGGTGGACAAAAGCTGTCATCCATGATTTCTTCATTGATACGTGCAAAACTAATTAATTTGTGCTCAAGTATAATGGCGTTAATAACACATACGACACTTTTGATCAACTAAACTACGATGTAAGCAATTGCATGTTTCACTTACGAGTTTTAGCACTATATATATCCGCCGTAAAATATGGTAACAACAATATCTCTGAAACATTTATTAATTCACACTTCAATTTTAAATCATAAGAATGCTTTTAAAATTATATACATATGGTGAAAAAATACAGCAGAATACAAACTAAAATATCTTTAAACGGCTCTCCTGTAAAGTTCGGTTTATGAGCATACGATAGTGTACTTAGGAGGCATCGATAGATTGTATCTTGGCGAAGCCGGCGCAGGTTGCTAGTTAAGCATAAAAATATTAACTCAATTAAAACATTCGACATAATTGTCTAAGAACACCTACATTTTAAATACACTTTCGGTGCTCATATTATACTCGTAGAATGTTGAAATACATAAATATCTCGATATTAAAAGTATTGCTCTTTGGCTCTGGAGCCTTTATGAGACCAATTTACATGCTACATTGTTATCTATAATTTAATTTGTTCAAGACAACATTGCATAAATACATAAACACTTAGATAACTGTTATTGAAAAAGAATAAAAATAAAGTGTTTAGAATCCGTTCACTTCAAGTTAAATTGACTTCCTGATGCCAAGCATCTATCGATAAAACTTTTAACGAGTTTCGAATGCGTGTCAATGATTTACAATGCCAACAAAAAGGCATTTACGTCTCAAGTAAATTACTTATTTCGTGTTCTCATTTTGAATATTGCTTAAAACTAATATATTGCAATTGATCGATTGGCAACAACAATAATGAATTTAAAATGCATCGGGACACGTAAAAGACGAGACAACCATAACGAAGCACAAGGCAACTAACTGTAATGTTTACTTTATTCAATAATTTAAGTGACCAATTTTTGTATCCATTTCCATTACATCCATTAAAGTCTATAAAAGTCCACTGCTGAACATAGGCCTCCCACAAAGATTTCTTCATAGGGAGCATTTTGCCATAGTTGCCAAGCTTGGCAGGCGGTTTGGCACCCGCAGTTTATTTTAATATTATTCTAAACCAGTGCTTAACTACAATCCCACCTGATGGTAAGTGGTGATGTAGCCTAAGATGGTGAGGCGCACTGACTTAACAAAAACCTATTCACAGTTTTTTATTATTTTCAGTTGTTATCAGGAACATGGTGCAACCCATCCCCTGTTTCAGTTTCCCCCAGTCACCTCTTACGACACCCACGGGACGATAGGTATAAAGTAGATGTGTATTTAATTTTGTATTTTGATAATATTTTACCTTACAAGTGTATCTAAATATATGTTTCAAATTTCGGTCGCTCAAGTACTTCATTTAATAGCAAAAAGGGATGTAGGACCGCTTAATAACGAAATTTGCTCTTACGAACAATAATTGGCGGTATTTGAAACTTCAATCTATAAACTTGTGTGTATGGGTGGGAGTTTAAAAATGTATATTTATAAGGCTAATAAGACAAGGTGATTGAGTTGCGAATTTTCTGTTACTTTACATCAATACACGGTGGCAAGCTTTATATGTACTTATTATAGCAAGTGTGACAAACAAGTACCCATTCCAACTGATAGTAGGTGGATACTTTGCCCCATAGATATCTACGTCTTTCCTCCTTTAAGAAACAAAATCCAGTTACGTTGTCACTCCTGAGGACTAAGATGGTACGCTTCGTTTCCAGTAAACAGGGCCTCTACACTCACCATACGAAATACAGCAGCTTTAAGTTGCTATGTTACGCTCATCTATTCTGTGAGAGCGTCCTTTCCCAGTAGAATTGCCACATTCGTGCTACAACTATAATAATATCTGCAGCATTGCTATAACATATGTGCCACTAAGTACCACTTCCGCTATATAATATGATTTATGTCAATTTCTGAGTCAACAGCGAAATCTAACAAAATACTAATTATATAACACGCCAAATATATTTCAGTATTATTACACCAATACTTCTTAAAAGCTGTCGATCTTACCGAATTCAAAACTAATCAAAAGTTACCACTAAGGATTAATTAATGTTATAAATTGACTCCATCGACATTGAAACATATTCTATAGCAGTGGTTCCTAAAGTGTACGTCCTGGTGCGCCGCAAGGTGCTTCTGTTTACCATTCTCCGGAAACTAAGCTTAGGTGTTTGCGGGTACAAAATAAACTACATTTTCAGCTGTAGCTGTAAATATAGAGCAAATGTCGCTGAAAGATCAATGTGGAGCAAGAAATGGGAGTAGCGGTCTCAAGCCTCATGGCAAGCTGTGAAAAAATGTGTGGAGATCACCAAGCTCACACGTGACATTGTCTAAGTTGCCAATGTATTTTATTTATTATTTTTTTAAAAATAATAAATGCATTTTTGTGTGTCTGTATAAATATAAAACTTTAGTTGAATGTTTTAATTTTTGTGCCTACCTACCAAGTATCGTTGTACCCTATTTAGACTACAAAGACTACATACTAAATATGTAAGTGCGCCGCGAACTGAAAAAGTTTGGGAATCCCTGGTCTATTACTTCAGAGTTAACGAGAGAAGTTTAATTACAGGCAAAACGCACAGGCTTATGGCGGCCTATTATTTAAGTACAGATTGTTATTACTCCAATACTCATTTATCTGTCAGCTATTGAAATCTTACGACGAGAGACTTTCTGTCCTTTATTTGCTCTTATTTAATCAAGAGATTCGCTTTTAATCATTTATAATCGTAAATTAGCAAATCATTTTTCAAAATTGTTTGTACCTATAGAAAAATTATTCTCCAATTTTTTTTAACTTATCTATATTTTGAAATTGAAGTGTCTGCCTGTAATCTATACATATACCCAAATAAAACTGAAGCACAGTATAAATATGAACAGTACGGAAATTAAACCTAGTTGAGGACATAATTACATACGCTCCATTGAAGCAATAGGGTTGTAACTTTTAATGTTTTTGATATTGTTTTTTTTTACATTTTTGTTCTCTAGTGATCGAATCGAATTTAAATAACTAGCTTATAAATATAATTTAAATAGGTATTCTCATCGCGTCGGGTAATCTGTGCAAAAGAGGATACGGACACGGAAAACAATTTAATATTAACACACAACAACTTGTAGAACTACGAGTATAGATCTTTAACTTTGTCATTACGGCGTAACCTTTTACAAGCTTAGGCGAGAGCCCACGCGAGCCGCGGTTGGACGAAAATATACCTGTATGCTTCATCATTACAAGTTATTTACAAAAAAATATTTTCGTCTGCTACGACAAGTTCGGAATTCTTTATTATTGAATTTAACCGTGTAAAAATTCTCATTCTAATGAACAGGCTTTTTTTTTAAATAAACTGTTGGAAAACAAGGACAGGGTACTATAAAACCTATTTTGTTTATTTTTTTGTAAATTAGATCAGCAAATTTACAGTTTATATGTTCTTTTTTAAAGCAACAACGAAAAATCAGTCTCAACACCCTCGAAAACCATGAAAACCCATGACGAAAAAAAATAATACCTATTGCAGCCGTCATCTTGGATTT